GGTGCGTCTCGACTTGTTATTTAACGATGAATGAAAGTGAGTCAAGAATTGACGATCGAGGTAGGTTGTGATTTTTAAGAGGTGTACGTGAGAAGAGGGAGCAGGTATACGGTGGGTTAGGATACAGTTTTAACTGGGCAGGTGTGTACTTAAGGACAGCGGAGGATAGCAGGAGAAAATGATACGATATGAAGTGAATGTATAACGGGACTAAGCTTGCTGTATCAAGCAGAGACAGATTGTAGAGTAGAGGGATGTGCTGGGTGTGGTGTGAACCTGGTATTTTTTTGATTGGTGTAAGATGACTGTTTCGAGTTAGAGAGATATGTTGATGAATGGAGGGTATTGATATTGGGTTAATTATAGGGTATTGGGATCGAATGGTCTGAGAATGGGCACGATTTAAGATTTGATTTCGACTTTTTTTTTTCTTTGTTTTTCAATATTGTTGATTATAATTTTTTGTTCTTTTGGATGGGTGGTGTGTATAATTGATTTTGGTATTAGGTGTGGTTTTGTTATAATATTATTTGGAGATTGGAGGGAACATTGCAGAGCGGCGTGAGGCGCACTCTCTGCCAGTCAACACCCTCAGGTATCGTTATACATCACACTCCACCGTACGGTATCGCACGCGAACCCGCCTCCCCCACCGGCGCTTCGAACCTAGCCACCTTTCCTTAGTGGAATTTTGCGATTGTAAACAATAACAACTTAATACCACAATGTAAAGAAGGATTGAATAACTAAAAGATTATGTATTATTATCCATTATTATTTGCATTCTATTACTTATTAAAAAAAAGAATTAGGCATATACTCAATTCAATAAACGGTTCAAAAAATAAATAGTAATGTTAACTAGAAGGAGATGGGTTTGAGCCGATCTGATTTTGGCAAACCGTGGTTTATACATATTATTTTTTTGAAAAAAGAAGAAACTTCCATGCGATTGGTTTCAATTTTAATTTTGGTTCTTTGGATTTTCAATTTTGTATAATTTTTTCAAATTTGAAACTAAATTAATACGCGATTAGCTTTTTCATATTTGCATTAAGACTTTTGATAATTATAAATTTGAATAATTAATCAAATTTCATTTCATATTATATTAGAATTCGAAATTGAATTAATTTAATAAAATTTATCTTTTTCATTTTTTGACTTTGTATGTAAACCAATCTAAATTAATTCTTTTTTGTATTTGGATTAATTTGTCAAAAACTAAAGTTGAATAAATTTATCGCTTGTATTATTTAAATTAATTATTCAAAATTGAATATCACTGAGGTTGCATTTTTCCCTCTTCTGAAATCTGAATCAGTCATTGGACCGATAATTTCCGGTTTCAAATTTGGTAAAACAGTTGGCTAAATCAAATTTGATCCATTAAAAATATAGTTTTTTGGTTGCGATCCGAAAATAGACCAATGCCAAGCGGGCCAAGTGCAATATATACCATATTACCAGGAATTACTCCTAAATATAGCTTTATCATTTGAGATAAAAAAAAATCATGAGTTCATAAACTATAATTTAATTTGTTTAGTAATTTATTAACTACCTCATTTGTTTCCTTTCAAAAAAAAAAACAAAACAAAAGAAAGAAAAACTACCTCATTGTTCAGAGCAAGCAAGTTTTTTTTATCAAAGCTTGAGTTACGCTAAAGGCCACTCACTATAAGATCCTCCTTTATTGTTTTAAACATCAAGAATTCAAAAATTTTTAGATAGTAACTTCAAATGAAAGAATTGTAATAATTGTAATATAATGTAATTAAATATTGGATTTTAGGATAAATATTGAGTATACAAGACAAATGCTCTTATACTAGAACCTACATCTAGTATAGACTAAATTTTCCACGTTATAAATTTGGACTACATTATAAAATAATTTAGAGGCCAACACAATTAATGGGGAACTCAAAGCAATTAATTGAGATATATTGTAAATATTTGTATTTTTTTTTTCTAAAAAAATCGAATACCTTATATTATTATTTATATCAAACTGAAGAACATCGACAATTAAAGATATATGACAGCTACTCCACCTCCAATGAATCAATCATAGAAATAGGTGCCGAATTAATCATTTTTATAGTTTATTTGATACAAACTCGCAAGCAGCATATGAATCACATTATTTTACTCGTGGGAGAATTACCAAAACGTTGAAAAGACCTGAGTTTCATGTTAAGAAATTTCAATTCAGACTCAAAAAGAGTTAACAAGACAAATAAAAAGTTGAAGGTTAAACTATGTCACACACTCTAGGCCTTTTTGAGGAACTCCCATAACATAGGTTATTATAAAGGCAGAACACACGTACTGGAAGCCTTGAAACCAGCTCCTTTAGCTAATGGCCTCAAATTCCTTTCAAAATTTCTCTCTTTCCCACCTGGTTGTGGAGCCAAACATTTATGCCAGTCAATGTGGCATGACTGATTTTGTGGCCAAGGGCTGGTGTCTGGGGCTACTGGCAAGAATTGCATTTCTTGCCCAATTACTTTTTCCATTTGCCGGTAAGCATTGTACAATTCTTCAAGAATTTAAGCAATGTGCGTTCGCTCCAGTCGTGGCATATCCACTGTGGGAATTTAGGATATTACGAGTAAGTTAAAGTAAATCAGCCTCTCGAAGATACAGCTACACAAAAGACTCCAATTCTAAACAATACAGATTAAAACATCAATTATGAAGAAACAGTGACAGCTCTAGTTAATAGTAATATGATTATTTAGTATGGTGTTAGGGAACATTTGCAATTTCAGCCTGGAGTTTTTAAGTTAGAGATTATGTAAGTCGTGACATTCTCACAAGTTATTCCATTATATTTTGATATTGAAAATTCAAGTTTTTTGAGATTAAAAATTGATCATATATATATAATATACTATATATATTATATTATATAAATATAACCTAATCATTTAAGATTATTATATATAATTATTATTACCAAATCAAGATTCAGGATATTCAGGCTAATGTTGTTTATGTTATATTTTTGCAACCTTTGTGGCTGCGATGTGTAGTATATATTGTTTCACTGTTTCAATACTGTATGTACTGGTATGTCAAATGGTTCCAAATTGCATTTTTCCACTTTTAGATATTCTACTTAGCCCGCCACACAAAAGGCTTCGCGCATTTATCTATTCTAGCTAAAAATTGAATTCAAAATATATAATTCATAGTTCATTTTGTAATTTTCATATTTTACTATTTGAACTAAAAAAAATATGTAATTTAAGTTCCGTTTGTTTCTTATAAAATAACTTTGTTGGAAATATTTCTAAAATTGTCTTTGGGAAACTCAAGTAAAAAAAGATCCTAACTCGAAAAATATTCTAATAATATATAGTGTGCAAAGGAAAAATACCAGTCCTTCCTCCTTCAGGAGAGAATAGAGCGTGCTCCAATTTGCGAGAGATATACTAAACATATACCTTTCTCTCCTGCTGATCTTTTGACAAATCTCTTTACCTTACTGTTCTATATTTTTTACAATTCTTTACTCCGACCTGTTCAGTTCCCATCTAGATCGAACAATTATCACCGTAAACCACCAACACTACCACTATGAGCGTATTCGAGCCCACCACTTAGCCATTCGGCAGAGTCATCACACCCGTCCAACACCACCGCCCTGCGCGAGTCCGCGACTTTACAATAATATATATAGTTAAACTAATATTATATAAATGTACTCCCACTAACCTATGTCTCAATATTTATTATAAATATATATATTAATTATATCTACATAAATTATATTAATCCATATATTCAACTTTACCTATGAGGTATTACTATCATAAGTATTCGACGGCTTAATCATATTTTCCTAATATATAGTATATAGTATATTTTGCATCTTCCACCATTTAACTCAAAAATTTGTTAAATTTAGTAAACTTTCTATTATTATTATTAATTTTTATTGTCTTAATGAAATAAAAAACTTTAAGATATTTTTTAACTAATTCTCAATTAATTATTTATGGGCTTTCAAAACTGAATTTCATAGTCAATTATGTATGAATAAATTAAATTGAGAATTTTATTCTCGCCTGTTATTTTTATAAAGTTCCTTGCAAAATAATAATTTTATGAAAAATAAATTAATAAAATAGAAGGATAGAAGAAACCCATGTTTTTGTCATAAAAATTTTGAGCGGTTTTAATTTTTGTAGAATTCCATTTGCAAATTCTACATATTTTAATTAAAAATTTTTAAAAATTTTTCATTTCCTATTACACAAATTTGGAAATTTGCAAATAATTTTTTAATTTGCAAAACATTTTATGAAATTTCATTTGCTTCAAAAACAACATTAACATTAGCGATATATAATTATTATAATATATATTATATATATCAATGATTAGGCATCACCAAAGAAAAAAACTAGATTTGAGAACTTACCTTCATTGGAAGATGGCATCTGCTTTAGGAACACTAACAAACATATCTCACCAACCATGCTCCACACCTTTACAACAAAACATCCAAGCTCAACATCAAAATCAACAAAATCTTATAATCAATAAGCAATTTGTAATAATCTAATCCACAGACAATTCCAAATATCCTTAAAAAAAAAAGTGTTTTCGCCTTGTACCCAAAACACCTGTAACTAGAATTTTGAAAAAACGCAGATTACAAAATACTAATGAAGCGCAAAAGCATTATGAGATAACGTGAATATTTATTACCGGGGTAAGACGGCATCCTGAATTACATGGGGCAGATCGAAGTTAATACCCTTTAGGGAAGAGGTATTTGGAGACGATTCATGTTAATCACAGCTCAGTTCCGCCACCCACATCACAAAGATGTGAGGCCTCAAAGCCTTTATAGTTTCAAGAATTGTTTCTTCATGGTAAATGTGGAATGGTCAGACATTCCCTATGAAAACCGTATGAATCTTGGAATCTGTGCCATGGTATTCAAATAGCAGTCATTTCTCATAGGCCTGTTTAAATGGAACTTCCTCCTATCAAGAACTGCTTCTTTCAAATAATACCTAACATTTAAAATAAATCCAAAATTTAGTTTAAAAGAAAGAACTGATTAATTATACTCTTGGTTTACTTTTTTCTTCAGAAGAATATGTTGTTTTTACTTTGTGAAATAGATAATAGACACAAGTATTTTTTATTTTAAAAATATTAATTAAAATTGACCTATTCGCTTGACATTTCCCTTCATATATTAAACCCAGTCCCGATGCCTGTGTGAATGGTGGTTGCCCTCAAGTGTCAAGCGTTGGGGTCCAGCATTTCTAACCCCATTAAGATTGTCGCCAAAGTGGGACCTTAGGAATTTTGTGGTTGGTGAAATTTGTTGTGGAAATTCAAAACTACTGGAGCGATGCCCTTTAAATTAAGTATTAAGCTGCCACTAGATCTATTGGAAAGCACCTATAAAAAATTAATAAAAAAATAAATTTTTTTTCAAAAATACCAAAATATTTTGTCCATTATTAATTAAAAAAAACAGAAATAGTTTAAAAAAATTTTTACTCTCTTTCATTAATTTGTCTATAAATGATTGTAATAGATGTGAGTGGTAAGTGAGTCTTATGGGAATATTTCATAATGAGATGGCATGCTAGTTAATTTATTTATATATTATAAAAAAAATAGAGAAATTTAGAGGTATTGCAAAAGAAACATTTCAACTTGTATTGTTAAAATTAATTCATTTCAAGAATTCAAATTCAGATTGATTGACATATCATTTTTAGGAGGACTTTCTGTTGGTGAAAATTTTTTAATGGTGGAAATTCACCATTTCCACAAAAACATTGTAAAGGTAAACTTTATGAATTTATTATATTGTTTGATAATCAAAATATATATATTGATGAATTTCACAAAGCATAATAAATCTTGAAAATAAAAATTAAATTTATCACTTAATAAAAAAATGATGAATCAAGGGCTCTAATGGATTTTATTATTTATTTTATTGTTTATTTTTTAACTATAATTAAAAAATCTTATAAATCCAATAAATATTTAAATTTCGATCACCCATTGAAATTTCATCGGCTTTCCAAAATAATTTCTTTTAAAAAATTCAATTGATGTATTTGTTTGATTATTTTTATAATCCATGAAACTCGTTATACCAATAAATTTCAATGGATATACGCCGTTAGGAATTAATTATTAAAATTTTATATACTTGAATATTTTGAATATTTTAAATGAGCTAGTAAATTCATTCTAACATATAAATTATTAAGAAAAGAGTATAGGAAAAAATGGTAATCAAAAAATTTCTAATTTAAATGAAGCACTATTTAACATATTAAATAAATTTTTATAATATTTTAAAATCTATATTAATATAAATAAAAATATTCATCCCTATACAACAATATTAAAAGTAAAATTTTATAACAATCCTAAATATCATTTATTACTAAAAAGTGAATTCGTTATTAAACCACCCATTAAAAAATTAAAAAAGCTGATATGTGATTATAATTATGTTAGGGATAAACATGATCCACCGTTATTCTCTTGCGTCTAAAGAAATTATGCCACGTTTTATTGTCAAACGGCTGAAGAAGGCAGATGGAAGAAATCCTACGCTGAGGGATTTCTTAAGGTGGACTTGAAGTAAATTGAACTCACACAAAAGGATTTTAACAAAAAGGATAGATAATTTTTTTTGTTAATATTTTATTAAGATATCACATCTTTTATAAAAATTGTGATGATGAACTATGAGTAAAAATTTTCATCTCCTCATGCTGTTCCTCCACCCCGTAAAAAGTTAAAAATTTTTTGCTACACCTAGCAAAGTGTATTTTTCGGAGGATTTGAATTGTTGATATTTTTCATTTTTTATGAAAATTTAAAAATAGCTTAACATCTTTTTTAGTTACAATATATTTTATTAATATTTGCGTAAACAACATCACATATTTTTAAATGATTTTTTTTTTTAAAAAAAATTAATTGATACCCAGCATAACTGTTTATATAAAGGCTGAATTTTGTTCTGAAAATTAGATGACTTTTGAACAATTACTCCACATATGCAAACAAACAGGAATGCGACAAAACAACCGAATGGAAGTAATGGCCGTAATGGACAGACAAACTTCTGCGCACTTAGTTATTGTCAAAGTATAAAAAAGCAAAGAAGCTTAAGAGAAGATGCAAAAAATTGACCAATATTAAGATATATGGACTTTTTATTTGTTGAGTTTTTTTTTTCTTTCTTAAAAGGTAAAATAAAATTAATAAAAGAACCAAAATTGCCAATAAAATTTGCTATCTTAAAATTTTTATGCCTAATTACTTAAAAAAAAAAAAATTACGTGTAGATTCACATAATTAGTGACATTTGTTTTTAATAGTGTTCAAACCCCTAATTCTTATATTAATTAGCTATTTGACCAAGGTCTTTTTTTACTTTAAGAACATTTTCTTTAAATCATGGTATGAATAATAACATTCTTCATTTTTATTTTTTGAAAAGTATAAATTTTTTTTCTTCATTTTATAAAATCTCTTTAATCCTAATATCAAGATGGCTTTGTGGGGTAATATTCTGTAGAGTTAACTGGAAAAATAAGAACAGTAGAGAATAAGTACCAGCTTTCCATGAGTTTACTTTATTCTTGGTTCATGAGGCAAAGAGGTGGCAATAGTAGACACCGTCCTCACCTTCTTTGAGTCAAGAATTTGCAGACAGGAGCTAGGACCGTAAAGCTTCTCTACTTTCCCATCAGAAGAGTTTCTTAAAGAATAGTATAGAATAGAGTAGCTGGCAGCAGCCGCCAATATACGGTCCAAAACCGACGGTGTCGTCTGGGTTCTCTGGTCGGGAAGCTAGAAAGCGATGTCGTATTGGGAGGACAGAACGCACCAGGACCAGAGCGGTTCTACCGATGATTCAAGTAAATCCCCGAGCTTCAATGGCTTAGATTTTAGAACCTAGGGTAATACGAAGCACTCAAGCTAATTGTGCATTAGCCAAAGAGATTTGCTTCTCATCGGGATACCTTTGAAGTTGGAGTCATCTTGTATTGTTTCAGCTACCCTTGAACCCATTTCCAACCTGAATTTTTCTTTAAGGAGTTTTCTGCTTTCTGAGAAATAAGTGTAGAAATTAATACCAAGAGAAAATGGTAAATGGAGAAGAGTAAAGGGAATAAGCTTTCGTAATTATATGTTGAATTTGGCTGGCTTAACTTTTGCGGGTTGTATATATATGTTGGAAATGGATCTTTCAACCACAAATTGATTTGGTCTTTTTCCACTAAACACGCTTAAACAACCTACTACCTATAATCAATCCTTCACCAATTTTTTATTACTCTCTGTATGACCGTCGAAATTGGAAACTTTTTCTCACCGGAATTGCAAAATTTGTGATATTCACGTGAGTAACTACTAACTACACTAAGTAAATTTCCAGATATAATGAGAAGGAGTCACAAAATGGCTCATGGCACATTAAAATCCATTATTGCTAGACAGAATTTACCTAAATGATAATATAGATTGAAGAATAACCGAGCTAATATGGTTGTCCCAACAATAAGCTACTTAAATAATAGTGACGAATGCAATAAATAAAAAGAGAAGCATCAAAATAACGAGATAATCGGCCAATTTTGCCTACGTTCTTCGGACACTACCAAATTTATATTTCACTAAAGGAAATATACAAATTGAGAGAAGGAGAAGACAACTTGTCTAACCCACTTGTAAGAATTGGAAGGACGAAGTTTGGAATGGAATAAAACTTAAGAGTGGTAGAGGCTCCTTTTATAGGCAAAGGCGTTCACTATTCCTTCCTAAATTTCCAATGTGGGAATTTTAAGCCACAAACCAACAATCTCCCACCTTGTGCGAAAAATCACCCAATACAAATTTCTGCTCTCTCTTATAAAGTTTGTATTGTCTTACAAATGTGCTTGCAGTGCCAAGCTTCAAATTTTTAACAATATTGATTACAAGTCCAAACGTATTTGAATCTTTGACAGTTCTGTCACCACCTTTCGTCAAATATCAAAAGCAGGATCCTTTCAGCCCCAGTTCTGAATCTTTTTTTTTTGTTTTTTTTATTTTTTTTCTTTTTTCAGTCTTTATGGAGTCTGGAGTTGAACCTGTCCTTCCTCTAGAATTTCTCTAACAAAATGAAATCGAACGTCGATATGCTTCGTCCTTGCATGATAAACTTGGTTCTTTGCTAAGTGAATAGCACTTTGGCTATCGCAATGTACAACAATGTTGTTTTGCCTAATTCCCAATTCATTAAGCAATCGTTGAAGCCAAATTGCTTCCTTCATAGCCTCTGTAATTGCCATATACTCTGCCTCTATTTTAAACAAAGTGACTGTTGAGTGTAAATTAGACTTCCAACTAACTGATGCTTTTGTAAGAGTAAACACATAACCAGTACACATAACCAGTAGTTGATCGACGTTTATCCAAATCACCGACATAATCAGAATCACAGTATCCGACACAATATCTGACTATGCGTTGACCACTATACTTATCCTGCTCAAAAATCAATCCAACATCCACGGTGTTCAAAAGATACCGCAGAATCCATTTCACAGCTTGCCAATGATCTTTGCCAGGATCATGCATGTATCTGCTCACAATTCCAACTGCATGTGAAATGTCAAGCCTCGTACAGACCATAACATACATCAAACTACCCACAACATTTGCATAGGGAACTCTTGACATGTATTCCCTTTCTGCATCATTTTTTGGTGACTGAGTAGCACTAAGTTTGAAATGAGGAGCAAGAGGTGTACTAACAGGTTTGGTTTTATCATCCATACCAAAACACTTTAGTATCTTTTTCAGATATTGCTTCTGATTCAGATAAAGTCTCCCCAATTTCCTATCTCTAGTAATTTCTATACCAAGAATCCTTTTTGCTTCGCCTAGATCTTTCATTTCAAATTCTTGATTTAACTGATTCTTCAAATTCTTAATTTCTTGTTTATTCTTTGAAGCTATCAACATATCAGCTATTAGCATATCATCAACATACAAAAGTAGATAAATGAAAGAGCCATCTTGTAGCTTGCGCAAATACACACAATGATCGTATTTGCTTCTTGTGTACTTTTGCCTTTGCATAAACTTATCAAATCACTTGTACCACTGCCTCGGAGATTGCTTCAATCCATAAAGCGATTTTTCAAGTTTACATACCATATTTTCCTTTCCAGCAACTTTGAATCCTTCTAGCCGAGTCATATAGATTTCCTCTTCCAGATCTCTCCATGTAAAAATGCAGTTTTTACATCCAATTGAACTAGTTCCAAATCAAACTGTGCTACCAAGGCTAACAAAATCCGAATGGAGGAATGTTTTACAATTGGAAAAAATACTTCATTATAATCAATTCCCTTCGTCTGAGCGTAGCCTTTAGCTACCAACCTTGCCTTATAGTGAACACTCTCTCCGTCAGGAAATCCATCTTTCTTTGCATATACCCATCTGCATCCATCCTATTGCCTTCTTTCCCTTTGGTGGATCAACTAAGTTCCACATCTGATTCTTATAAAGGGACTTCATTTCATCTTCCATAGCTTTTCTCCACTTTATTTCTTCTGAACTTTTAGTAGCTTCATTAAAAGTGGATGGAATGCTATCATCTGCAATTGGAGATGCATAGGCCACCATATCTCAAAACGAGCAGGCTTTCTTATAACTCTCCTTGGCCTATCAAGTGTAATTGACTCAAGTTGCTGTGGAGGTTCTTGGAGTTGAACCTCCTCTTCATCCGAACCTCCTTCTACCTCAGGAGTTTCTACAGGTTCAGTACCCATCATTGGAATTTTTCTATCGAACTCCACACCTGTTTGGGAGTATCCTCCGCCTATTGTGGAGTACCATCTGACTGCTCTACTGTCACCTTTTTTAACATGGTAGATTCATCAAAAGTGACATCTCTGCTAAAGTTTATTTTCTTTGATTCTGTGCACCATAGTCGATAACCTTTAACTCCTGTGCTTATCCCCATGAAAATGGCTTTCTTAGCTCTTGGATCCAGCTTCGATTCCTTAACATGATAGTATGCAGTGGAACCAAATATATGTAAGGAATCATAATCATTAGCAGCTTATCCACACCATACCTCTATAGGTGTTTTGCCCCATACTCTATCGGTGTTTTGCCACCAATAGCCATTGATGGTAAATCGATTAATGAGATTGGCATCATATGACAAAGGCCTCAGCCCAAAAATTCTTGTCTAACCCAGCCATTAAGCAACCATATCACCGAACTTTTTCTCCAGCAACGTTTCGGTTCATGCATTCTGCCAACCCCATTCCTCTGTGGTGTATTTCTAACTGTGAAGTGTCCGAACAATGCCTTCACACTCTGCGCAGATTTTATCAAAAGCATCATTTTTATACTCTCCTCCATTAATCTGTTCGGAGCCATTTTTGTCTGTTCGGAGACATTTGATGCGTCTACCAGTCTGAGTTTCCACCAATTTTTTCCATTTGAGGAAAACTCCTAGCACTTCATCTTTTGACTTCAAAGTATACACCCAAACCCTTCGAGAGAAATCATCAACAAAGGTTACATAATAATGTTTGCCACCTAAAGAAGCCGTTGACCATACATCAGAGTTAACATAGTCCAAACTACCCTTGGTATTATGGATTTCGATGCCAAATTTCACTCTTGTCTGCTTTCCTTTGGTGCAATGCTCACAGAAGTCCAACTTGCAGGTTTTGACATCTTTCAATAATCCCTGATCTGACAATCTTTACAATCTTTTCAAGGATTTTTTCACCTGATGTCCCAAATGCTTATGCCACAATCTGGTTTGTTTCCCATTCTTTGTCATCACTAGAAACACTGTTGTCTGTCGATCCAATAAATTGTATTACCTGATAGTAATACAAATTGTTCCTTCTCCGAAATCCTTTCAATCACCACCAAGTGCATCCAGGATGACTTTCATCCACTCCATAATTTCGCAATTACCGTGAGTTCCTTTTTGATTCTAAGGACTCCACTAAAATGAGATTCTGTTGTCAAACTCGGTACATATCGAAACATCAAGTCAAGGATTCCTGATTGAACCCGATCATGATTCTTCAACGGAATTGAACCACTCCTTTTGTGAAGCAAGGAAACATTATTTGTTGTATAGACACTTCTATTTTCAAGTTCTTTAAAGTCCAAAAAACGCAATCCAGGTGGGGACTCATATGATGACTGCATGTAAAGTCTACGCACCATACCTCACCAGAACTTGTTAAATTTGCTGATGAATTTTTTTTTTGGTTTTCCCAAAATAGAAAAAAAAAATGCCGTCCCCCCATGATAACCTATGAGAAGTCTGAAGTCTTCATCAATCACCACTCAGCTATGTTTTTGAATCAAATAGCAGCTTTGCCCTTTGCTTTTCACTTTGGGACCAATCTTTCTTCCAGTGGACCTTGTCTCACGACAAAAGGCACGACTCCATCTTTTTTAACTCAGGCTTTTGAACGGGAATCTACTTTTTCTTTCCCCCTTTCTTTTGGCTTCGTGATCGACTCTAAACCACAGAGCTTGCTACTCAGTTGCCTTTTCCCTTCTTTCTAAATCTTTCTCAAGTTCAGTTCATGGCTGTAAAGATCAGCACAAACTTCACTGAAAGTCACATCTTTATTCCCATAAATTAGAGTCGTTGTAAGATGCTCAAATTCATCAGCAAGAGATGCTAGCAACAACACTGCCAAATCTTCGTCTCCAAATATCACATCCAAATTAAACAAATCACTCACCAATTGATTAAATTTTGTGATGTGTTCATTCATAGTGGTACCAGGAACATAATCAAAGCGATACAATTTCTTCTTCATGAAGAGTTTATACTGATTGTTTTTCTTCAAAAATTTCTCCTCCAATGCCTTCCACAATTTGTTTGCAGAAGTTTCTTTTGAGAAAGCATATTTTTGCTCTATAGAAAGACACGACCGAATTGTACCACATGCCAAACGATTGATGGTCTTCCATTCACTCTCCTCCATCTCGTTTAGTTTCT